AGACAACATCCTGCCATCCTTGTCATGGGTTCCCCACCCCACGAAGAACAGGGGTGACTCATATGGCATGTAACTCCCTCACAGTCATTGTATCTTATAGTGGAGACTGTCATCTGCACCTCTATAACTGCCTGGTTTGGTTCGGCAACCCAACAAGACAGACACAGACTTCAACGGATAATTAGAACTGCAGAAAAAACAATGGCTACCAACCTGCCTTCCACTGAGGACCTGTATATTACATGAGTCAAAAAGAGGGTCGTGAAAATATCTACAGACCCCTCGCATCCTGGACGTAAATTGTTTCAACTCCTACCTTCAAAACGATGCTAGAGAGCACTGCACACCAAGACAACTAGACACAAGAACAGGTTTTTCCCGAACGCCATCACTCTGCTAAAGAAATAATTCCCTCAACACTGTCAAACTATTCACTAAGTCTGCATTACTATTAGTCTTCTCATCGTTCCGATCACCCATCTCTTCCCGCTTAGGACTGTGTGACTGTAACTTTGTTGCTGGTATCCTTATGTTTTATACTGATGTCGATATTGTTTCCTGATATTAATTGCTTATTTGTGACCCATGACTATCATTAAGTGTTGTACCTTATGATTCTTGGTGAATGCATCTTGTCTTCTTATGTACCCTGAGAGCATCTGCACCAAAGACAAACTCCTTGGGTGTCCAATCACACTTGGCCAATAAAGAATCCTATTCTATTCTAAAGGGAGAAGTGTTGTTAGAAATACAGGGAAAGGATGAGCTCCTGGGCTGAGGAGATAAGATGAAGGCAACCACATGGGACCATCGCAGGGGAAAATGTTGCCATGGCATATGTTGGGCTGTGATGAAGTGCTGACGGGGCCTGTACAATTACAAACACAGACAATGCCACCACCTGCCCTCCCGATGCCAACCTGTGGAGTTCTGCCACCTCCAACCCCCAGGAGAACTACTATCCTGGCTCACTGAGAAGGATGGAAAGGTGGTAACTTCAGGGCACCTACCAAGATGCTCCCCGCTCTTAAGTTGTGAGGTTTCTAAAGACAGGGCTGAAAAGAGATACAATACAATACAACACAACACAATACAATAGCAGAGTTGGAAGGGACCTTGGAGGTCTTCTAGTCCAACCCCCTGCCTAGGCAGGAAACCTTATATGCCAGGTGGCCTAAGTGCCCTGCAGTTTTATGCCAAGGTGGCCCCTGTAGGGACCACCAACTCCTTCCAAGCCCTACTTCAGCAGGGAGGATCCCGTTGCTCAACCACCCACCCACTCATCCATCCACCGACCCCAGGTCACTCACGGTGGTTCAGGGGGTGTCCATTCCGGTCGGCCAGCACCACCAGCTCCAGGTAGGCTGCGCAGAGCCCCACGGCGAGCAGCCCGAAGACCAGCAGGAGGCGAAACCTTCTCCTTAGCGCCTTGCCCAGAAGGAACGCGAGGGTCCTCATCCCGCCTCAGTCGAAGCCGGAAGAAACGAACATGCTGCTGCGGTTGTTGTTGCCGTAGCAGCGCTCGCCCCGCTCGGTTCCTCCGCTCGGCTCACCTGCTCTGCCGCCTGCAAGGGTTCGCCGGCGCCGGGTCGCTGCTCCGGGGCACCAACATCGAAGTTATCCCGAAGTCCTTCCTTCCTTCCTTCCTTCCTTCCTTCCTTCCTTCCTTCCTTCCTTCCTTCCTTCCTTNTCATTACATTGTAATAGCTAAGGCGAAGCGCCCATCAACCTGAGTGATGTTGAGTTGGCCACGCCCACATGGTCACATGACCACCAAGCCACACCTACCCAGCTGGTCATTAGGTCAGAGAACCAGTTGTTAAATTATTTGAATCCAAACAACTGCCCATGTTCCTCCCCAACCTCCTCGCTGTCCGAATCTGCTGCCAGCTCCACTGGCTGCTCGCAGGCCACAACACATATATCCATCCCCCAGTTATTCAACTGTCATTTGCCAATATGACAGAAGATGAACATGGTTAAATACCCAAGTGCAGAGTAATCATTTCAATATATTAAATTTTAAATCAGCAGGCTCAATTTTTTGTTGTTGTTGTTGACTGGTCTCTTGCTTTTGGAAACCTGTTTCTTAGTAAACCATACCAAACCTTAACTTAGAAAAAGTTGATGACTTCTGATTTAGGGCATAGCATAAATTCTGCTAATGATTTGTGGTTTGGTATCCTTGGTTGCTGTCTGGCTCATCGCAACCCAATTTCTGAGGATGTGCTTTATGTTCCCTTCAGCTACTTGGCAGAGGGGACAGGCTAAATTCAAGCACTTGGCAACTGGCATGTACTTATGCCAGTTGCACTCTCCCGGGGTCATGTGATCGCCATGTGTAACCTTCCCTGCTGGTTTTCAACAAACAGCGTCAAAGAGTAAAGCTAGATTTACCTAACAACCACATAATTCATTTAACAACTTCAGTGATTTGCTTAACGACTGGCAAAAGGATTGTAAAATGTGGGAATACTCAACAATCTTGCTTAGCAACACAAAGTTTGGAGTCAATTGTAGTTGTAAGTAGGATACTATTTCAGTTCATATATATATACTAGCTGATACTCATACGTTTGCAATAAAACTATGTGATCAGGCAATGCAGGAGAAATTTGGTTCACTCCAGTTCAATACGTTGGCTCAGTGGTGGTTGGTAATTGAAACACATAAGGGAACTATCGCTCCTGCCGTCTTGAGTCCGGAAGCAGTTCCATAGGTGGAAGGCGTAGATATTTTGGTGAAGTACCGACATTTAACTACTGTAAGGGGCCCCAGACCTCTCCTGAGTGAAAGAGTGGAATGTCTGCCAGTTTGAACTAACGTAAAAGAATGTGAGGCAACTGACAGTTGGAACAGAGTTCTTTTCAGGTGGGGAGGTGGAGTAGAATGTCTTAACTCCTTAGCATCAGAGCATGTTAATATAAAGCAACTGGCAATTAGAACAGAGTTCTTTTAAGGTGGGGAAGGGGAGTAGAACTCCTTAGCATCAGAGCATGTTAATTACTGTATAAGAAATACTAATAATCTGATTGTCATTTTGAAAAATATTTTCTTAGCAAGCACCAAGAAGCCAAAAGGAACATACGTGCCAAATTTCAAGTTTGTTTGTAGGCTTTACGGTTCTGGAGATTTCGGGATGAGTGAATGGTATTTGGATTAGATAGATGATAGATAGGTAGGTAGGTAGGTAGGTAGGTAGGTAGGTAGGTAGGTAGGTAGATAGATAGATAGATAGATAGATAGATAGATAGANGTCAACCCTGAGCCGGTGGGATTTGAACCGCTGACCTGCTGATCTAGCAGTAGCCTGCAGTGCTGCATTTAACCACTGCGCCACCTTGGCTCTAGGTAACCTAGGACTATCACTAAGTGTTGTATCTTATGTTCCTTGATGAATGTATTTTATTTTTCTTTATGTACACTGAGAGCATCTGCACCAAAGACAAATTCCTTGTGTGCCCAATCACACTTGGCCAATAAATAATTCTATTCTATTCTACAGCTTTCTTTCTCTAGTTTTGGATGCAGAGGAATCAAAGTGCAGGTCTCCCAAACTCTTCCCAATACTGTGCAGCCAACACTCCCTCTTCACAACCCATTTGGAAGCTCATCCGACAGGGGATGAAGTAGGCTGTAGTCCATTCTAAAATGCATGTCTAAATCTTAAAGCCATTGCTTTGGGGGCGGAGGGGGGAACCGATTCCCACCACCTTCAAGCCAGCAAATTTGGAAACGTGGGAATCTCAAGGAAGCATCCCAGGACTCTCACGCTCCAATGGGGAGGCTTCTGGAGCCAGCGATTTCGCCCCGCCCACCGCCGCCGCCAGGAGGATGGATGCTTCGGCCCCGCCCCCATCCCGACATGCCTCGCGCTCAGCGCTCAGTGGACTTTCCGTAGATAAGATGGCGGCGGCCACGCTCCGGGCCGGCCGCGTATGGCTTCTTTCGGCTCGGAGAACAGCGCCGCCACCGCCACCCCAACTCCTGGTTTCCCAGACGTCGCGGCGGCAGCGCCACGACCAGCAGCCAGAGGCTCGTCCGACGCCGGGCTCTCCCGTGGCGAAGGGACTCTTAGCCACCCAGTACCAGCGCGGTCTGTTCCAGGAGGTCTTCCCGCCTCAGCCCGCCGATGAGCAACTCATCGAGCTCCTCCAGCCCGGCCGCCCTCCCGTGACGGCTTACTGCGGCTTCGACCCCACGGCCGACTCGTTGCACGTCGGGCACCTACTGGCGGTGCTGGGTTTGCTGCACTTCCAGCGGGCTGGCCACCAAGTCATCGCCCTGGTGGGAGGAGCCACGGCGCAGCTGGGCGACCCCAGCGGCCGCACCAAAGCGCGGGAGGCCATGACGGCCGAACAGGTGCGGGAGCGCGCGGGGGGCCTCCGCGAGGGGCTCCAACGGCTCTTCCAGAACCACCGGGAGCTCTTCTGGCCCGAGGAGCAGGGCGACCGCCTGGGTAGCGTCCATTTCCTGGACAACGCCAGCTGGCTGGAGAGCGAGACGGTCCTCAGCTTCCTGGCCGGAGTCGGGGGTCACCTGCGGATGGGCACCTTGCTGAGCCGGCAGAGTTGCAAGGCTCGCTTGAGCAGCCCCGAAGGCATGGGCTTGGCCGAGTTTCTCTACCCGGCCCTTCAAGCTTACGACTTCCTGCATTTGTACCGTCGCTACGGCTGCCTCGTTCAGCTGGGCGGAGCCGACCAGTTGGGCAATATCATGTCTGGCTACGACCTCGTCTCTAAGTAAGACAGGAAGGAGTTGGGGAGATTTGCAGGGCGCCCAGAAAATCTTAAATGTTGCAAAGGGATGAGTTAGCATGTCCTTTACATTAACAGTGGACTGTGAAGCGATATATTAAGTCTATAAATCTAAGGTATATAAGAATAGAATAGAATTAGAAATAGATTAAATTAGAATAAGAATAATAGAATTAGGATAGGGAATAGGAATAGGAAAAAAATAGGATAGAATAGAATAATAGAATTCTTTATTGGCCAAATGTTATTGGACACACAAGGAATTTATCTTTGGTGCATATGCTTTCTGTACATAAAAAGACAAGATACATTCCTTAAGAATCATAAGGTACAACACTTAATGATAGTCATAGGGTTCAAATAAGCAATCAGGAAACAATAGCAATATAAATCATAAGGATACAAGCAACAAGTCATAAGTGGGAGGAGATGGGTGATAGGAACGATAAGTTGTCTAGTGCAGGGGTGTCAAACTCAATTTCATTGAGGGCTACATCAGGCTTGAGGTTGACCTTGGAGGGCTGGGGGTGATGTTGGGGGGGTGGGCATGGTGTGACATGGGACCGCAACACCACAGACATGATTTTATAAAAATAGATACATTTCTGTGATTTTGTTTTTTAATACTTCTTGATCTACTTGATCACTTTATGTGTGTGAGAGAAATCAGATAAAGAAACTGGCTCCATAGGAAGATTAGAACTAGAAATTATTGACATAGGCTATAGTAGCAGAATCCTGCAAGCCTGAAAGGTAAAATATTTTACTTTTCCTCCTTTTTATAACCACCTGAGTCAAGGATGGCCTCTTGTAGCACTCCGGAGGCCCAGTTTTGGGCCTGGAAGGCTACCTGCAGCACTTCAAAGGCCTCATTTTGGGCCTGGATGGCCTCATGGACCACTCTGGAGGCCAAAAGCACTTGGGGGGGTAGTGTCCCCCCATGCCGCATTTTTGCTAGCAGAGGCATCGTGGGCCGCTCCTTTGCTATTTCCAGACTGGCCCCTTGGGCCAGATCTAAACACCCTGGGACCGGATTCAGCTCGTGCGCCAAGTTTGACACCCCTGGTCTAGTGGTGAAGGCACTAGGCACTAAGGCAGGAAAAGCTGAGTTCTAATCAGGCCTTGGGCATGGAAGTCAGAATGGAAAATGAACCAGTCACTCGGACCTAGGAAGAAGGCAGCAGCAAACCACTTCTGAAAATATTACGCATGAATTTGTCCATGTTGTGTCCAGTGTTTGATATGATCGGTCAGATAGTATCAAATGTCTATCCAGCTCTGTTGACAAATAACTTGACATTTTCATTTTTGTTCTCTTTAGAGTAACTGACAAAGATGTATATGGAATAACTGTGCCTCTTATTACAAGTACTACTGGAGATAAGCTGGGAAAATCATCTGGGAATGCAGTTTGGCTTAACAGAAATAGAACTTCTCCTTTTGAACTGTATCAGTTCTTTGTCAGACAGCCAGATGCCACTGTTGAAAGGCAAGTCTATTTCTACATGGCAAGTTATTTTCCTGCTAAGAACAAAAGGACTGCTAGAAGGATGATTTGTAGGATGCTGGACTATCAACGGAGGAAACCAGAATTCAAAGCTTTATAGTCATAGAGCTCATTTTCTTTCAATCTAGCACAAATAGGTACCCAAATGCTTTCTAATTGCTTCTATTTACATCTCCAATAATGTCTGCATATAAAAGGAAGAAGATTGCATTTCTTTAACTTGTTTCACAGGATTGTTGTGACAATCAAGTTGGAGTGAGAGAAAAAATACTCGCCTTGAATGTCCTAGAAGTTAGAATATATGTGGTAGTTGTTTTTTTTAAAAAAAGATCCTTAGAGCACTCCTCACAATTGGTTTATACCAGTAATGGCGAACCTTTAGTGGCTTGCGTGCCAAAAGCGGGGGGAGCGCAGGGTGTGTGTATGCGGGCGTGCCATACCCATAATGCACGACCCAGCGTGCATGCGCGCACAACCAGCACCCCCACACACACATTTTTGGTGTGCTTTTTTCACCCCCCGGAGGCTTCAGAGGTTTTATAGGAGCCCGGGAAGGGTGAAAACAGCCTCCCCGCTCCCCCGGAGGCCCTCCAGAGGCTTCAGGAGCTTTCCTGAAGCCTCCAGAGTGTGAAAAACTGGCCTTATGGGCAAACCAGAAGTTTAGGAATGGACTTCTGGCTTGCTTGTAGGGTTGTTTTTTTGCCCTCTGGAGCCTTCAGGGAAGGCTCCAGAAGGCTAAAACCGGCCCTACGAGCAAACTGGAACCGGACAAATGGCTCCGCGTGCCACCTGTTTATACCATCTCAAACTTCAGCAAGTAGTACTTTTGACACCCAAAGAGCCTAGCTCTGTTCTAATTGATCAACTGAATAATCTGATAAACTTTAAAATTAAATAAATACTTAAAACACATCCTCAATTTTATGGGTTGATGAATAACAAAGATTAACAGCTTCACTGCTTGCTGTGTAAATTACAATACAAATAATACATTCCTGATTTTCAAAACATACCCCCATTTTCAGAGTTGAATTTCTCTGCATTTACTGTGGTTTGTCATATTATTTTAGTTCTATCTGATCAGAAACAATTACTGGTAGTGTCAGGTTGTATTTTCAATATTTCTAGAAACAATGTATTTGTCTCTTTTAAATTGCGCATTATTAGGTTAATCTGTACTATGTGACACTGAAGCAAAATAATGCTATATTCTCTCTTTAAGGTATTTGAAGCTTTTTACTTTCCTTTCTGGTTTGGAAATTGATCATATCATGCAAGTGCATGCTAAAGAACGTGAGAAACGGGGACCTCAGAAGAGGCTTGCTGCTGAAGTAACTAAGCTTGTTCATGGCAGGAATGGTCTGGAATCTGCCAAGAGGTAAAGACAGATTGAATTTGTTACGCCTCATGTGCTGAACAAAAGTCCTGTTAATCTATATATATATATATATAAAATGTGTGTGTGTGTGTGTGTTCCAGCATAACTCTCGAACACCTTGAGGAATTTCAATCAAACTTGGTACACAGATGACTTACTATCTGGAAACTAATACTGTGGGGGTAAGACACCCCTAACACCCTCAATGTGTGTGTTCTGTTACAATACAGCCTGTTGTACCGTAAAATGACTTCTACTGTACAGTGCAGTGGAGCTGCTATGGTAACGGCTTCACAGTACTCCACAAGGGGGTTCCCTCTGGTAAGGGGGAAAATCCAACATTAGAAATTATGTTTGGTCCAGACATTTTCCCCCTATAAATAAATACCCGGGCAACACCAGGTTATCAGCACTAGTGGATATATAAGCAAGGGCTGTAGCTTTACAGATAGCAAAAACAGAGGCAATTAAATTCTGGATTTCCCATCCTTAATTTCTGCATCCCAAATTGGAGACATCTAAACCAAGAAAGAAAAATCTAACATAAGGACACTTTCTTGTCATTTATTTTGCAAATGGTGCACAGGGATGTTGAGGCACACAATAGGTGCAAAGGAACTTTGGAACTGAAGTTTTTCCAGGGCTCCAAACCTACCTATCCCCAACATGAAAATAGTTTCTCCCACTGGGAGCAGCAGATGTTTGTTTTTTAAAGTGAGGGAGGAGACATGAAGCAGTCATTATTCCTGGTATTTTTCCAGTTGGATGATTATAAATGCTAGAAGTACGTGATTGCTCTGCCTAAATTGAGAAAAAACAGTGTAGCAGATATTGGCATTTTGATATCTACTTCTTTATTACCAGATGTACAAGGGCCATTTATCACAGCAATGTGGATGCATTAGAAAGTATGTCTGACAAAGAGCTACAGGAGCTCTTTAGAGAAGCACCTTACATAGAGATGCTACTTGAACCTGGAACAACAGTACTTGATTTGTGTCGAAAAGCTAATGCAATTGCAGATGGACCAAAGGGGTAAGTGAGTTTTTTTTGTCTCTTTATACTTCTGCTCTCTATAGGACAGTGATGGCACCCTCGCTCGTCGGGGACACGCCCCAGAGGAGAAGCTGCCAAGTGGGCATGCGTATGGCGGGAAATGAACTTCTGGTTTCCAGCGTGTGCATACGCACCTGCCAGCTTGTCTTCCAGATACTTGCGTGCATGCACGCTTGGCGATCAATTGGCCGGTGCGCATGCGCACAACGGTAACCAGAAGACCAGCTCTGGCACTGCCGCATACGCAAAAAACAGCTGATTGTCGTGTGCACATGTGCGCCAAAAACCCAGAACGGGTGCTGCCACACATGCCAGCCAACATGACTCCGTGTGCCATTTTGGGCATACGTGTCATAGGTTTGTCATCACAGCTAGAGGATATGCTACCAATGGCTGTCATAACCCTAAGACATAGGGGTCATTAAGTGGGAAACACTGTGGGTCCTAAATAAAGAATGAAGGGGTGTCACAGGTAGGTGGTAGAGGTCAGGGAGATCCTTGGAGCTGCAGGAGGCCTGGGAAGCTAGCAGAAGTGATGGTCATGTGTGGGTAGGAGATCCTTCCTTTCTATCAGAATATAGGGTCTCTTCTTTTTCCAAGTTTTAAAAATAACAAATCTGCCCTACTTGCTGATAAATGCTTCCTGATAAATGCTGACTGCTTCTAAACCAGGGTTGTCAAACTCGCAGCATGTCATGTGACATTACAGCTTTCCCTCCCTTCACTAAACCAGGGGTGGGCGTGTCCAGCACATGACGCATCTGGCCCACAGTTTTGACACCTGTTTTAAACAATCTGAGATTTGTTAGCAGCAAGTCTAACCATACAATTTCTTCCAGATACCGTGACATAACAGTTGGTGCAGTTTCTATAAACCATATTACAGAAACTAATCCTGAAGCTGTACTTATTCTTGGACAACATATTCTCAGTAATGGCTTATCACTATTGAGGATTGGAAAGAAGAACTATTATATTGTAAAATGGCTTCAGTTGTCACATGAAGAGTGACATTAAGGTTTNGTTTAATCGGGCGCGCTTTAGTGTAGCGCAGTTTTGTCGTGCCACGAATTAAACAAGCAATCCACTTTGTGCATTGCATTTGTTACACTGGAACAAAAAATCAGGTCAATAGACACATTGAAAAATCATATTTACACACTAATCAAGAGTCAATAAAAATGTTAAGAAAGGAACAAAAAGAACAGAATCAATCCTCTCCAATAACCAACACCCAGATAAGCAGGGATTAACACTAAGCAAACAATGAAGCAGAAAACAGTAGCCTAATTAAAGAACTACCAAAGAGGAAAGAAGGCAACATGGGCAGAGCAAGCTACTACACAAAAAGAGAACAAACTCTGTACTTATTCCTATGGATGATCTTATCTAGTTGGGTAATGAAATGTCTGCAAGCAAACAGCCAATTTCTGAGAGCATCTAGGACTCCACAGTTCAACTCTAGGCTACAGATATACTCTTATATTGGAAAGGAATAGCTAAATACGTTTGTCTAGCTTTCAGTAGATTTGCAAGGTTTTCCCAAGGCAATGCCCTCTCTTGGTTCCTTGGACAAGGGCTTTCTCTGCCTTTTCTGATTCAGATTCATTTTACCAAGAAAACTATAGAGACATCAATGCATCTTGCACCTATCAAATGCTAGGTTTTAAGGGAAGCAGCTTTGCCCTCTCCTTGACTTGCAAGCCTTGCAAACCTCTAGCTGAGGTGATGGACATTTCCCTATATCTTCTCTGGGCCCAAGGAAAATCTCCAGAAAATTGAACTTCTTGTGGCCGCCTGACGATGCTATAGCTACATCTGAGCTTCAATAGAAATGGAGGGAGAGTGCTTGGTGTAATGGTTAAGGTGCTAGCTTGGAAACCAGGAGTCTGTGAGTTCTAGTCCTGCCTTTGGCATGCAAGTCATCTTGGTGACTTTGGGCCGGTCCTCTCTCAGAGTCCAACCCACCTCGTAAAGTTGTTGTAGTGGGGAAAAATAAGAGGAAGAAGTACCGGTAATATGTATGTTTGCCACTTTGGTTTACTTATACATTAAGAAAGGCAGAATAAAAAGCAATGTGTGCGTGTGTTCCAGCATACCTCTGGAACGCCTCAAGCAATTTCAACCAGTTGGTATACAGATGACTTACTCTCTGGAAACAAATACTGTGAAGGTAAGAGGCCCCTAATACCCCTCCGGGGTGTGTGTGTCTGTTAAGATACAATCTGTTGTGCCTTAAAATGGATTCTACTGTACTGTCGTAAAATGGCTTCTACTGTACTGCCATAAAATGGCTTCTACTGCTGCTATGGGAACATCTTCGCAGTACTCCACAAGGGGGTTCCCTCTGGTAAGGAGGAAAATACAACATTAGAAATTATGTTTGGTCCAGACATTTTCCCCCTATAAATAAATACCCAAGCAATGCCGGGTTATCAGCACTAGTTTATGATATTTCTCCAGTCCTTTGGGGTTCCTTCTGATTGCTTTGGGACCCAGTTTTGAAAGGAAAGCTGTCATCATTCTGGGACGTGGGAACAACATTCAAAGGAGTTATGTTATCGAACAAATTCTTATTGCACGGACTTTTAATCTGCATGGGACTTTGTCCTCTGTCATCATATAAATCAATATGGGCAGAAGGGAGACTAATTATTATGAAAAATGATTAAGGAAGTGGGAGAGCAGGCATTATCCTAGCTAGAAATAAGCTTCAACTCATCGGTCTCCTGGCACAAAGAAAAGAGAGTAACAGAATATATAGATTGTCCTTGACTTACATCTATTTGTTTGGTGACAGTTCAATATTACAGCAACTCTGAAAAAAGTGACTAATGACCGTTTTCCCAACAACCATTGCAGCATCCCCATGGTAACTGGATCAAAATTAGTACTGCTCTATAAAGCCTTAGTAAGGCCACACCTGGAATACTGCATCCAGTTTTGGTCGCAATGATGTAAAAAAGATGTTGAAACTCTAGAAAGAGTGCAAAGAAGAGCAACAAAGATGATTAGGGGACTGGACGCTAAAACATATGAAGAACAGTTGCTGGAACTGGGTACGTCTAATTTAATGAAAAGAAGGACTGGGGCAGACAACCTATTTTCAAAAATATCTGAAAGCCAGACAAGGAACAATGAAGGGAAATTGATCAAGGACCGATTCAACCTAGAAATAAGGAGAAATTTTCTGACTGCGAGAACAATCAACCAATGGAAAAACTTCCCCTTAGAAGTTACAGCAGCTTCATCACTGGAGGCTTTCAAGAAGAGACTGGCAGCCATCTGTCAGAAATGGTATAGGTCTCCTGCTTGAGGGGTGGTTGGACTAGATGACCTACAAGGTCCCTTACCTTAACTCTGCTATTCTGCCTGGCAACTGGTTCATATTTATGATGATCACAACATCCAGGGGTTCATGTGATCACCTTCGGTGGCCTTCTGGCAAGCGAAGCCAATGGGGAAGCCAGATTCATTTAACAATCATGTTACTAACTTCAATGATTCAGTTAACCTCTAGGGCACATGTATCAAACTTGCCGCATCATGTTGCCGTCACATGACGTTTCGTGCCGGTTTTCCCATTTACAGAGCTGGGGCAGGCGTGGCCTGTGCATGACACATCCGGCCTGTGGGCCACCAATTTGACATCCTTGATCTGGGGCAAGAAAGGTTGTAAAATGTGCCCAAACTCATTTAACAATTGTTTCACTTAGCAACAGAAATTTTGGGCTCAACTGTGGTTATAAGTTGAGGACTACCTGTAATGTAAAACAACTCATAATTCAAAGAAGTTTCAGAAATTGAATTTTGACCAAGGGAAGGTTCCAGCATAGCTAGGGTTACCAAAGGACAAAAGAGGACAGATCTACAATTAACTTTCTTGGTATTCACAACCAAAATTACAGTGAAAAATGAAAACAAAGTACTTAAGCCTACAAATTACTTTTCCCAGCATCGAAAAGCATGTTTTCAATCACATTATTTTTTCCAATAACTCTTTGTTTTAAAAGAATGTATATCAGTGATAATATAGAATTGACAATGATGCACTTTCCAAATTTCACCCTAAAAACATACAAGCAATGCAATCTCCAGACAATAGTGATCATAGAATTGAAGGCAATTGCCTAAATTAAGAAATAAAATAAGATAAATCTAGGCTGCCATTTCTGTCAATGGACAAGAGAATGAAATAAATAGACAATGTATAAGGTCTGAATATTTGAACGGCTACTGTTGTGAAAACAATAAAAAGACCCATATAAGACCCAAGATTTGATTTTAAGGGTATGCCCCCCTCCCAGACAGAGGACATGAGGATGAAACCCCTTTTGCCATTCATCTGTTAACTCTGAGAATTCTAATTTTAAAAATTAAAAGAATTTGAATAATTAACAATGATCCTAGGAGATTCCTTCCCCCACTGAAATAATTGGCCAAAACTAGAAACTGTTGCAATCAAATACTATTTGTTTGGTATTATTTTAACAAAGATTACTGTAAAAATCAGTAAGCCCATCTCTGCTAAACAAACAACTGATAAATAGTAAAACCAATTATCTAGGTAAAAGTAATTAACCAGACAAAGAACTGTTCATCCACACTTCCCCAAACCCACAATTAGGCTGCCCCAAACTATTTACACAACAAAGCTGTAGGAATAGAGGAAAGGTTACGTAAAGACGGGTGCAGTAAAAAGCTGTGATCTCAGTAGCTGATTACCTCTTAACCTATGAGCTCACCTAATTAGCAGAACCAGATGTAAGTAGGGAGGAAAGGTTACGTACAGCAGTATCTGGAAAGTTTCCTACCCTGCAATACAGTTGTCCCTGCAACACTCAGAATTAGCTGCTGCTATTTTAGCTTTCTAAATCTTTTCTCAACAAGCTTTTTAACTAAATTTCTGACTTTCATTATGTGTGTCAACTTATTTTTGATTTTCCAGGTGCTTACATCACACCCAGGATTGACTTAATTTCATGGCTTTTCATTATAAGACTGAAAGCATTTATATTTTGTTTCTCATATACGTAATTATTTGTTCCTTTCTGGACCTCTCTCTGAATGTTCCATTTAAGCAGATTTTGTTGTTTATGTTTACCTATTCTCTTTTCAGATCCATTCTTTAATCACTTTTTTTCCCCACCAGAATGCCAGAGGGTTGGCACCGAGCAGGGTCATCTTGCCCCGAATGTTCTGGGACATCCCCTTCTGGGGACATGGAAGTTAATCCCCATGGTTTGGCCTCTAATGAACTATGGCAAATGGATGTCACCTATGTTCCCTCTCTGGCTCCCTGGAAGTATATTCATTTATATATTTTTACCTATTCAGGAGCGTTTTGGGCCACACCTCAACGAGGAGAAACAGTTAATCATGTTATTTCTCATCTTCTTTTCAGCTATTACTATTTTGGGTCAATTTTTCTCTTTAAAAACTGATAATGGCCCGGCCTATTTTTCATTGGCAATTTTTGCAATTTTGTACAACTTGGAACATTGTTTTAACTTATGGGCTTCCTTACAATTCCACAGGTTAAGCCATTGTGGAACGTGTTGATTGGTCCTTTAAGGACTGCCTTCACAAACAATTAAAAAGGAGGGCTCTTGGATACCAAATCAATCAATTTGGCCCCAATCAATCAATTTGTTGAATTTGTCCAATTTGGCATACCCCAATTTGGTGTGGGTAACATAACAGGTTGAAAAAGTTTGTTTTGCCTTCCCCTCTAGGGGGACGAGGATTTGCTGTGCTTGCTTCTACAGGATCTTTGTGGATTCTAGCACATTGCGTTCGTCCAGCTAAGGATGTCATGGTACCAGTTCCCGAATCCGGTTCCAGAGATGACCAAGGTGACTTTACAGACAGCATAGCGGCCAATACGATCTTGTCGGACCAGCCATCCAGTGATGTGAAAAATCCTGACCATCAAAGCGCAAGCAGTGCTGCAACAACGACATGTGGGGCAAACCCCCGAGAACTTATGCTCTGCCATTTTTGCGGTTTTAACTG